GGGGGGGGGATCTTGCTAGGTAGTTCCAGCTGGCCTTGAACTCATTATGTAGCCCAGGATGGCCTCAAACTTGTGGAAGTCCTCCTGCCTCAGCCTCCCCAGTGCTGAGATTACAAGCATGTGCCACCCCACCCCCAGCATAATAGTTAAATCTTGGAAACAGCCTCTATGTCCATCAACAGATGAATGAATTTTTTTAAATGTGGTATTTATACACAATGGAATAGTACCCTGACATTAAAAGGGTAAACTTGAGTCACTTGTAGGAAAACTGATGCACCTAGAGACCATACGTTAAGTAAAGTAACTCAGACACACAAGTTTAAATACTGCATTGTTTCTCTTATATGAAAAATTCAATATATAAATACATACAATGTACGAAATGAAAGATAGACAACAGGAAAAAAAAGAGGTGAAAAGAGGTATTATAATCCAATGTAGACAATGTCTCTAAAAGTGCAGCTTAGGGCCAGGAATTTAACTCAGTGGTTCCACCACTTTCCTCAAAAGAACAAGGTCCCGAGTTCAGTCCCCAGTACCAAAAAAAAAAAAAAAAAGAAAGTATCTCAGAGAAGGAGCCAGCCAAGCAGCAAAAGGAGTTTAAACTTTTCGTCTTTTTTGGGGGGGTATCGAACTCAGGACCTTGTGCCAGGCAGGCACAGTGCCACTGAGCTAAGTCCCCAGCCCCTAAACTTGTTCATCTTTACAAGGCCCTGTGCACCATTCTTCAGCCCTTCATATCAAGTTATCACTTAGATATGGGCCCTGACAATAAGCCCAGCAAGTACTCTTGCTCAGAACCACTGGCCATGGCAGACAAAATAATGTTACAGTCAAGAAAACAATCTTGGAAACCACTAGTGGCCTCTTACTTTGAGTGGAGACACAGCATTAGTGACCTGCAAGCCCCACGTCCTGAGCAGCACAAGTGGAGTGGCACTGGTGGAGTAGAGCCTTTTCAGCAAGTCAGTAGCAGCCAGGAGAGCAGTGTTGTGACGCTGTCTGTCTGTTTCATAACCTGTGAGGTGGCTCATGGAGCCTGGAGAAAAAAGGGAAGGTTAAATCCCTTTTCCAAGAACAAAGGCTTCTTCCTCCTCCTAGCAACCCAGATCTACATCATTTTGATGTAGATCTAGATGCCATCTACATCATATTGACCCCATCTTGCTATTGAGGGCTATTCTGGGGTTCTGATCTTTAACTCTTTTTCTCTTTTTTGGGGGGTACTGGGGATGGAACTCGGGACCTTGTGCTTGCGAGGCAGGCAGCGGAACCACTGAGCTAAACCCCTGGCCCTGATCTTTAACTCTTGATCTCTGGATGCCTGAATCTTTACCTAAGTCTTTTCCACTGAAGGCTGCGGTACTGAGGTGATGGAGCAGGCTAGAGATATCCCCAAAGCCCATGTTGACACCTTGTCCTGCAAGTGGATGGACTCTGTGGGCTGCGTCCCTGTGAATGAAGCAGCATTCAGATGTGGCCTCCAGCACCAGTGAGGAGGGAACGACCCTGCTCCATTACTGTCTTACCCAATGAGCGCCACGCGAGGCCGGACATACTCAGCTGCATGTCCCAACCCCAGCGGAAAGAGCACTCTGCTTTTGGCATCCACCTTGGCTACACTTGGAGGTAGCTGGCGAGCTGAGACTTTAGAGGGCTTCAGAAGAGCAACAGCATACTGCAGCATGCTGCCAGCAGAGCCAATGAAGTCGGTGTGGTTAGCATCACTCCACTGAGCATCACCCACGAAACAAACCAGGAGAAATCTCATCAGTGACTAACAGGAAACTCAACAAGGAAACCCTTTTACAACCAAGGCTAAGGGTAATGCTTCCTAACATGCCCAATCTATTCTTGAGCTGTGAGTGACAAACCTCTTAAACAAATGCAAAGTAGAATTTTCCAGGACTCCCTGCAGGGCAAACTGCCCTGAGCTGGCTTCTGCCTACCTCTTGAGCACCTTTTGCCAGGCCCCACCACCAGTAATGATGCATCTGCCAGGGTAGCTCATCCTACACTATCTTCTCGTCTGGAGGACTCCTCTCTGGTTAGAATGTCCAACCACCCATTCCACCAGGATAATACCTCAGAACACCTGAGCACCATCCCCCAAGCCCTCCGCTGTGTGTTTTTACCCCTCTGTGCTGCCACAGCACCCTGTGCATACTTCTATCACTGTACTTAGATTGTCATTTGCAAGTCTTTCTCCACACCTGACTACAAGCTTCCTGAAGGCAGGGACTGTCTCATCCATCTCTATCTCTACAGCCTGCTACACAGAAGGCCTTGTAATTATTGTTGAATAAATGTGCTACAAAGGTGTTAGGCCTGTGCCAGGAATACATACTGAATGACCCAGAGAGAGGTAGCATTCATCATTTACCTTGGAAACCACTTCAGTATGTTCAGTTCCTTTTTTTCTTACTGCTACTACAGAGCAGTGGAATATAATTCTTTATTGTGAAGTTCTTAGTGAGGCTTGGTTAAAAACACAAGCTTTAAGGGCCAGGTTGATTACAGAACTTGGCTTTGCCCTAGCTCTGTGACCTCAGGCAAGTTCCTAATTTTTCTAAATGAGGCTAATACTACTACCTACCTCAAAGGTTAACTAAATTAAGAAAAATATCTATAAAACTCTAAAGCCTGGCACATAGTAAATATTACCAATTAGTGCTACTGATGAATTTAGGTAAGTGTGAAGTAAAAGCTCCAAAAATACAAGTGTCCATAATATCTACAGACTATGTCTACTCCAGAATAATTAATAATTTGTTGAAAATCTACAATGTATTAAATATGTTCCAAGGATTTTACATAAATTATCTCACTTTATTTTAGTTTTTATTTTTATTTTATTGTATGGGGATTAAGCCCAGGGTCATGGGGATAGTGGGCAAAAACTCTCCCACTGAGCTACATTCTCAACCCATTTCTCCCATTTTAAATATCTTTATTCAGTCCTGAGGGTTTGGTGGTAACTATTTCTGTTTTTCAGGAGATTATTAGAATCAATATTGAACCCATCTATGTTTGTCTACAAAGTTTACTCTTAAGCTCTGTGCTAAAAATGGGTTCACTCTCCCCCCCACACAAACACACACTTCCAGTGAATCAGGTTTCAAAGGTTCAGGTACTTGGGACCTACTAGAATTATTCAAAATGATCAAAGTATACAGCTTCAAAAAAAGCAGTGCTAACCACCACCAGTCAGCTGTGTCCATCAGTATAACAGCAGCCCACAACCCTAGAAGAGCATTACTGTATTTCTGTTGTGCCCTCAGCATAATCTTGATTAAGTTAGTTACAAAAGGGCAGCTGCTTGGTTAGTCCTTCTTACTTAAAACCACCTTTCTGAACCCACCCCTACAAGCTATCATCGGCCGGACAGGTGATACTCACAAAGGCAGAGTTGATGGCATCTACAAACTCTTCCTTGTCCATGCTGACCAGCTGTGCGGCATGGTCATGGGATGTGGACCAAACCAAGGAACTCAAGGTGTCTGAGAGCTGTGTCAAAAGAAGAACATCAATACCAAGGCTAAAATTCTTAGGAACTTGGGGGCTCTCGAGCACAAAAGATGAGAAGCGGAAACAATGTTAGGCTAGGTATGTTCCCTTGAAACCATAAAAGGGGCTGAGAAAGTGAAGTTGTAAAGAAGAAGGTACACCTCTAAGCAGACTAGCCAAATGACCTCTTACCGGGAGCAGAGCAATAGGCCCTGAGGGAAGAAATCTCTGCCAGGCTACGTTGTTTTCTGTGGCCTGTAATGTTGAAAAGAAAGGCTCTTAGGGCCGAGGATGTTGCTCAGTGGTGCTGCGCCTGCCTGGCAAGCACAAGGTCCTGAGTTCAATCCCCAGTACCAAAAGAAAAAAGAAAGGCTCTTGTGGAGAATACCTGGGGCCTATGAGTAGGGTCCCAAGTGGCAGCTCCAGAGCTTACCTCAGATAAATGCAGAGTAGCCACTACAGCAGACTGGTCATAGTTCCAGCTGACATTCTGGATCCCAGCAGCCTGCCGTACTCCTGAGTTGTGACCATCAGCACCAATCTACATGGAGATGAGAGCCTGCTAAGTCTTATAGCCTCTGCATATATCACATGCTCCAGAATTTTCTCTTGCCCCTAACAATTACTCTAGTTCCAACTGTTGGCCAGCCTAAAGTTTCCCTAATAGCAGGAAATTTTTCATCAGGCCTGTCTCATAGCCCTGGACTGGAGCCCTACAATATGCACCTTCTGCCTCCACTGATGGAGTCAAAGTGGACATATGGCTCAAGAAATGCCA